AAGATTTTTCTTTATCTCAGTCTTAGCCCGTGGAATTGGCCTCTCTATTCTGTTGTGTTTTTTCCCCAAGGGGATTATTTTTAGGCTGACCATGCAAATATTCTTCCAAGGCTTCCCACAGGTGAGTTAGGTCTTTCTTTTCTTTCTTTTTCTCTAAAAAGACAGGAAGAGACAGGAAAAAAAACAACAACAACCTCTAAGTGATGTAAGTTCCTGGGTGCAGAGTACTGCTGTGGGCCCAGTGAGCTGTCACAAAGAACAGAAAAGGCAGTTTTTACTTCTAATAAGATAACATTGGCAGGTAGGTGACCTAGGTGGGCAGGAGCGGGGTCATGTGCATATGGGACATTCCATAGGCAGAGTGGCCCCTGGGATTTACCCAAGTACAAACAAAAACATTAGAGATGTTAAGGAAATGAGAATAATGACTAATGCCTTTAAATTCAAATATGGCCAGTCTACTTACCTTTCTAGGGACCTCATGGACTTTTATTTACTTCTTTTCTCTTCCCTTCATTTCCTCATTAATCACATTTATCCTGTGACACTGTGTGTGGTTTGCAAGCCTCCTTTCATCATTTTTTGGAGCAGGATGGGACTGTTAACCCATAAATTAGAAATGATTTTACAATATAAGCGTCAGCGATTTTGATTCTGATATTTTAAGGTGTTATTTTTGTTCTCTAGATAGTTCTTTTCAATAGTACCCTGTTCTTATGTAATGGAGGTAAACTACATTTCTTCTCCTGTCTCTCTGGGAATAGTAATAAGACTTAAATGATTGTTCCTTCTCTGAGTGTCTCCTCGAGGTCTTTCTCCCAGGTTGCAGGCTTTTCTCAGTGATGCTGGCTTGTCTGGTTGGGGTGCTAAAGAGCTGCCTCAAAGTGCTGAGTGGGTGGGTGGGCTTCCTTGGAGAGTGGCCAGGGGTTTCTTCTGAGGCATCCCCAGTGGCAGTGGGGTAGGCCTTTCCTCTGGCAGTGCTCATCACTACAGAGGCCTCTCCCAGCCTCCTGGGAGCCGAGTAGAGGGGACTGGGGTCTCAAGAGTAAGCATCAGTGTTCTCTATGTGCACGGCCACGTGATTGCCCTCTGTGCAGTGGCCCTCAGCTGTGCTGGCCAGCCAGCCTGTGCACAGAGTTTGGTGGGCCCTCCCTTCTCCCCCAGTCCTAAGTACTGGAACTCCACTGTCAGGGTAGGTGAGTGAGAAGGGAGATCTAGAGATCGAGTTTCATCTCAGTCAACTTCCACCAAACCCCTCTTTTGTGCCCCTCCCCTTGTTTACTTGATCCAAAGGCAACTGCTGGGGCCAGTTCATGAGCCTCTGGGCATGGGGCAGTTTGGTTTGCAGCTTCCCAGGCTGCGGGCTTTAGGTTTGGCTCTGAGTCTGCTAAGTCAGTCACACTGTCTATCAGCCTCCCCCCACCCCCCCAACCCCCACCTTTTTTTATTGTTTGTTTGTTAATCCTCACCTGAGGATATTCTTTCCATTGATTTTTCAGGGAGAGTGGAAGGGAGGGAGGGGGATATAGAGATAGAGATAGAGAGATAGAGGTAGAGAGAGGGAGAGGGAGAGAGGGAAGGAGAGAAAGAGTGAAGGAGAGAGAGAAAGAGAGAGATATCGATTGGTTGCCTCCTGGAGGCACCCCGTATGGGACCAGGGCTCAAACCTGCAACCCAGGCATATGCCCTTGACTGGGAATTGAGCCCGGGACCCTTCAGTGCACGGGCTGATGCTCTAACCACTGAGCTCACTGGGCCAGGGCTATCCATCAGCTTTTGTGTGGTTGTCATCCTCTCCTCTCCTATTTTTTCCATCCTTATACATTTCTATCTTTAAAAAAAATCTCTTACCTTGGGAGGAAGAGATGCTGGATACATTTGTTCACTGTCACGATAACCCAGTAGCTCATTAGTTACATTGTGAATTTCATTTTCCCACACAGCTCACTCTCCTTTTACTTCACTGGCTTGAGATAGTCCATTATGTAACTTCTTTGGCTCTTGCTTTTCTTCTCTGTAAGAGAGGAATAGTCTTACCTACTTTCCAGGTTGTTGCTGCAGTTACTCTGAGTTACCACATAGGTTTTAGGGATAAAATAAACAGTTCTGGCAAAATCAGGCTCACGGGGCGATGGTGATGATCCTCCCGGGTCAGTGAAAATACTCAGGTCTGATCTCTGATTCTCTTCCTTCCTTCTCAACCAACAATTTAGCAGGACCCTCCGCTTCTGTTGACATAGCCCTTTGGGGAACAGCAACGTGCACTTATCCATGTTAGAGGCCACAGCCCTCCCCGGCCAGGGACACGGATGACCACGATGGTCTTGGAACTTTTGGAAGAGGAATCATCCTCACCGTTCCTCTTCCTGCTCTCTCCTCTTTTTCTTCTAAGTAACACACACCTTACTTTCCCCTCCACTAATAAGAGCCTTCCCTCTCTCTCTGACTGGCACTTCCCTTTTCCTGCCCAGCCCATTTCCCGGTCCCTGACCCTGGTGGAAACACCCTAAGTGACACTTTATCCACTTCCCACCCCTCACCCCACAGGCGGTACCTTTGCTCCCATGGTCTGCAGAGCGGGGAGCAGTCAGGCCGTCGGTGAGCAAGGCCGAGTGCAGCAGGGAGGGGCTCTCTGGCTTCAGCAGGGTCGTCCACTCTGGTGCTGCTGAAGGGGTCAAGATTTCTCCTAGAAACCTCCATGCATGAAGGGAACCCCTGGTTCCATAGGGGCAGAGGAGAGAAGTTTCCCGACTTATTGAAAGGGATATGAACCTCCTTTCCAGCAAAAATACCCAGCCTCTCTTCCCCTTCCCACAGCCTGTTGCCCCTGAGGACAGTGGAGAGTGGACGAAGCATCTGGAGCAAAGAGTATGTCGTCTCCAGTATGAGTCCAAGTGGACGTGCATGTAGAGGGGACCGTGGAGGGAGCCGGGGCCTGGCTCACTCCAGTCTGTGGCGGTGGCCAAGGAAAGAAGAGACTGATCCTGGTGGCAGTGGAGAAAGCATTGTGGGGAGCTGGAGGGTGAGGGGGACCGTGGGCAGCTGAATAAGGGGTGGTGCTGGCCCGGCTGGCAGGCATGCTCTTTCCCGACTCCATGCTGGTGGTGCTGGCTGAGCCCAGAGCAGGGAGCCTGCTCAGGAAGCATGGCACACACATGTTTGAGCGCTGTGATCCAATGGCGCTCATCACCAAGTTTCCTCAGACACATTTGGTGACATGAACACATTTGACACCTGATTCCCATGGGTATGAAAATCAAGCATCCTTGGCAGTTCCCATAAACGACTATGATGAGTTTTATACCTGGCCTGGCAGGCCCCCTGGGTCAGCGGGGAGGACCTCGGTAGAGCAGGAGCCAGCTCCCTGGTGGACTTGTACCTCTGTGACAGTGCCCGGGTCGTCCTGCTCCCTGTCCAGCCCCTCCTCACGGGACAAGCTCAGCTGCTGTCTCCTAACTCCCTCCCCACTTCCCAGCCAGTTTCCTCCAGGGCTGATCTTCAATGTCAGCATAAGGACATGGGCCAAATCCCTCTCCTGGGGGCAGAGGACTAGAAGGTCTCAAGCCTGAGTCCCAGGATCTGCCATGGCTCCCAATGGGATGGCTGGAGTGAGAGGGGAACAGAGGGGATGTGATGCCCTCATGAGGTATGCGGATCCCAAGGTGAGGTATGGGATAGAGAGACAGAGGTAGAGATAGAGATAGAGAGAGGGAGAGGGAGGGAGGGAAGGAGAGAGAGAGTGAAGGAGAGAGAGAGAAAGAGAGGGGAACGTGGGGGGCATTGTTTCCCAAGGATGAGAATGATGTAGTTTCCCATCAGGCTCCCTGCCCTGCCCCCTCACCCTCCCTTTCTTCCTCTGGGGGATGGCAATGCCCTGGGGTCCTCTAGCCTTCTCTGGCAATGTCCTCAGGGGCAGAGGCCCTGGCAATGGCTTCACTCCTGCTTGGAGCCTCATCGGAAGGATGGGGTCTAGTGGATAGACTCAGATATAGGTGGATGGGACAACACAGGAGGACATGGAGCTGCAGGCAGAGGTGCTGGGGCTGGGAGGAAGGAGTTCATGACAAATGGGTGGGTGTCACCCAGGAGAAGGTATTAGAGGGTTGGATTTCAGGGACGAGACAGGTGGGGTGGGGTATGCATTGGCGGGCAGAGAGGAGCCAGGAGGAAGTTGAGCTGATGGAGAGGCTGAGTGAGGCTCACTAAAGTGGGCAGCAGCTCTGCCCTCTTCCTGCCACTAAAAATACCTCCTTCCCAGACAGCCCTCCTGTTTCCTGCACCCAGGCCAGGCTTTGTCGGGCATGGAGCAGGGAAGGGCCTGGTTCAGAAGCTGGACTGACCTGGGTGTGGGGCTGAGAGGGTCTGCTCCAGGCTCAGTCTCAAAGCAGGAGGTGTGGCTCTCCAGCCTGCAGCCCCTCATGCAAGAAAGCTGAGGCCTGGGAGCCAACTTGGAGGGAAGGAAATAGCAGCTGCAGGCAGCATCCTCCTTACACAGGACCTCCTGGCAGAACCAGCAAATCCCAGAGTGGAGGGAAGGAGCTCTTGGCAGGTGCAGCCTGACCCCACCCAGCTGGGAGGTGAATGATGCTGAGGTTAGGACCGGGGAGCCTTGCCAATCTGGGTTGGATGCTCTGATGTAACGCTCACTAGGTCTATGGCGTGAAGCAAGTTGCTCCATCTTCCAACGGGGATAACACAGTACCTGGCTCAGAAGGTTGTTAGAGATGCTGGATGCACAGCACTGTGCCTGGTGCAGAGGAAGCATGCAAGTGACAACTGTTATGATGATGGTTTCTCCCTGCATCTAGGTACCCACGATGCAGTCACCATCGGGGTTCTGGCCTCTACAAACAGGTTTATATGCAAACCTGTCTGAAAAGGCAGGTTCCTTCCTTCCCCCACACAGTGCCCCACCGCTCCCCCTCTGCCTGGGCTCGGGTGCACCCCGACGCTGAGTTCCAGGCTCTGATGCTAACCCCTGCCTTCCTACTTACCCACAGACCTGCGTAGGATGACAGCCGGCTTCATGGGCATGGCGGTGGCCATCATCCTCTTCGGCTGGATCATCGGCGTGCTGGGCTGCTGCTGGGACCGAGGCCTTATGCAGTATGTGGCCGGGCTTCTCTTCCTCATGGGAGGTAAGGTGCAGGCTTGGGGGGGCCTGTCGGGGGAAAGGTCCGGTTACTAGGATTCTGGAGGAACAGCTAAGTGCACTGCAGATGAAAGCCACAACTCTGTGGGTCTCTACCCATTCATTTATTCCTTTATCATTTTTTTGAATTCTTCTTAATCACATGTCCCTGCACTAGCTGCTGGGGATGCAGAGGCTAATGAGACTAATAAGGTGTGATCCTTGCCTGCTGGGGGGGGACTGTGCAGCTATGGCATTGAGGCGGGTATCAGACGCAGAGTGAGCGTGAACCCCGGAGATCCTTGGGCATTTTATACACACATTAGACTTCAGGGTGAAAAGTGGGTGCTATCTGGGCAGTTTCCCCTTTGAAAGCTTCACCCTTGATTTATGCTTCCTAAATGCTGCTCCTGTTTCCAAATGAGGCACCTGCCCTTGTGCCTGCCCCCTTACTCTCTGACTGCCATGGCCAAGAACCAATCCAGTCCTTAGGAAGGGATTGTAGATGAACCATGTGGCTGTGCAGGAGCAGGTCCCAGTCCACGGGAAGTGAGTGCTAATCCACAGTCACAGGTGCCTCCTTTCTCCATGAAGAGCTAAAATGTGCCCTTTGGTCTCCTGGTGTGAGCCTCAGATGGAAGCAAAGCGAAGCATTGGGTGTGCCCGTTACAGTCTGCCCCGCAGGGAAGAGTGCATTGAGAAATAGCGGAGCCAGGTAGAGGGGAATTGGGCTTGGATTGAGGGAATTAGAAGTGTTTATGGAAAGAAAGGAAAATGTGTTCTACCAATGGAAACAAATGTCAGTAAGACTTTGAGCTCATGTGCCTCTGCCCAGCCCAGGTCCCTGTGGTGGATGCCTGGCTCTGGGGTCTGAGCAGAGGAGGGAGGTGAGGAGCAGGCCAGCTGGGGAAAGGAGGTGGCTGTGCCTCTAGGTGTGCACAGGTCTCCGGGGGCTGTGAGCAAAGGGCTGGGAGGGGAATGGCAAGACTCATCCTGGGGCCTGCCCATTGGGCCCACACCTGCTGTTATGGCAGAGGCTGGTGGAGGGAGGGTCCAGGTGGCTCTCTCTAGAGCAGTGGTTCTCAACCTTCCTAATGCCGCGACCCTTTAATACAGTTCCTCATGTTGTGGTGACCCCCAATTTCATTGTTACAAATTGAACATAATTAAAGCATAGTGATTAATCACAAAAACAATATGTAATTATATATGTGTTTTCCAATGGTCTTAGGCGATCCCTGTGAAAAGGTCATTCGACCCCTAAAGGGGTCGCGACCCACAGGTTGAGAACCGCTGCTCTAGAGGTTCCCACATCCCTCCTCCTGAGCTCCCACAAAACCAGCCCTGCTGACCTTTTCCATGCCTCGGTGTCCTCCTCGGTGAAACCAGGGGGAGCCTGGTTTTCAAACTCTGTTTTAGGAGCAGCTAAATCCTTTTGGTTCCCACTTCCAGTCAAAATCTTGCGTGGACCCTGAAATGTAAGAAGGTAGAGTGGAGGAGCTCTGTTTGTAGTGAGTGTTCTTGCTAAGACTCTTGGTTTTACAAAGATGGGCTCCAGTAACACGGGGCTTTTCTAGGACTTGGAGGGTCTCCCAGGAATCTGAGAAAAGCTGAGCAAACAGGCCTCGGGCTGAGCAGGAATAGAAATGGGAGCTCTTGGAGATGACACGCTCTCATCGCCTCCTCCTCCAGCTCTCCGCACACATCCTCTGATCCCCCTCTCTCCAGGCCATGCATGTGGCTCACATCTGCCCAGGTGCTAAGTCTCCAGGGTCTGTCCACTTCCTTCTGGGCTGCTAAAGACAGAGAGGGAACATTAGTGTCCTTGCAGAGAGCCCAGAGCAGCTGCCATCTGCTGAGTCCATGGGTGGGCTTTGTGAGGATCTAGGGAGGAGCTACTCAGGAGCAGAAGCTGTGCTTCCCCTCACCTGCCCAGCAGGGGGAGCTACACTGAGAGGCTGGGGTATTGACCCAGAAATGATGCCTTGATCCATAAAACCCTGTGTGTCAAAAAGAGATGTTTCGGTACCAACCCTTCTCATAACCTGACCAGTCCTTGCCCTCCAAGAGTTGACCTTCTAGGTTGATCTGTGGATTAAATGGGAGGCCGGTCACCTGTGACAGCATCTCATGGACACAGCAAAGCAATCAGCCACTCAAACTATAGTTTGTATGGCAAAGTGAGATAAGGCCCATGGCCTTAGCTTGCACCCAGACTGGATTTCAGGCACCTGTAACAGGCACAGACAGGTGCCAAAGAGTGAGGTTGGGCGACAGGTGAGACCAGCTGGTGGGGACCAACCTCAGCAGTGCTTGGGAGCTGGCCAGTCCTGGTGAGCAGGTGCAAAAGGAGGGGTTGGCAAGAGTGCAAAGGTAAGTTTGAAGTCAAGAGTCCGAAGGTGGAATTGAGATTAACTTTGGGTGAACCGACTAGGGCCAAAATGAAAACGGAAGAAATCTCCTCACAACCTGTTCGGATGTGAAGGAAGAGGGCCCACACTGAGCACGTCTCTGCTCCACATTGAACTGTTTCCCTGGGCTAGAGAGAGGGCGCCCCGCACCTTGTGAAATAAGCAGCAACAAATTGTTTAATTAACACTCAACCCAGAGGAGGCAATTAGTTAAGTAGGGCAGCTTTGTTGAGCCAGGAGGCTGGGGGTGGTGGGTGGGATCCAGTTTTCCCTTTGGCAGGGGCTCCGGGGGAGAATCTAGCCCAAACTGGCACAACACCATTCCGGTGCCAGCAACTGCCAGAGACAAGTGTCTCGATGAATCATCAGTGGTAGTCTGCGCAGGAATAGGATGGCACGGGGGAAAGACAGCCTGGCGAGGCAGTGTATGACTGCTATGATTACTTGTGATCCACTGGCAGGGTGAGCCTCAGAGCCGCCTCATGCACACAGATCTACAAGATGACTGTGAGCATCCAGCGCATGCCTTCCCCATCCTCCCACGCTCTTGGGAGACATCCATCATCTCTGCCGCCGCCCGGACAAAGCCTCCATGAGCCCTCATCTAGGCTGGAGCCCCCTATCTAGACGCTGACTCCATTCTGCCACCCAGCAACCAGTCCTTTACAGAGCAGTTAGCATCATTTCTAAAAAAACCTATAAAGTAGATATGTCACTCATCAGCTACCGGTGCGCCAAAGGTCTCCAGTTGAATTTAAAATCCAAATTCCTTTCTCTTCTTTGGAAGCTGTCTTAGATAACTCGGGCTGCTGTAACAAACTACCATAGACTGGGTGTTTATAAACAATATGCAATTATTTCTCTGTTCTGGAGGCTGGAAAGTCCAAGGTCAAGGCACTGAACCATTCAGTGCCTGTTGAGAACCTACTTTCTGGTTTATAGATGACACCTTCTTGCTGTGTCCTTTCATGGAGGAAGGAGTGAGGGAGCTCTCTGGGGTCTCTTTTACGAGGGCACTGATTCCATCCCTGGGGGTTCTACCCTCCTGATCTAAGCACCTCCCAAAGGTCTCTCCTAAGACCATCACCCTGGGGTTAGGACTTCAGCAAAGGAATTTGGGGACGCACAAACATGCAGTCTATAGCAGGAGAGCCCTATGTAATCCGGCTCACTCTCTCACCCTCTTTCCTGTTCCTTCCCCTACACTCATGTCACTCCACCCGTGGGCTGCCTTTGTGTCCTGGGACACAGAATGTTGAGTCAAGGCACCAGACGAAGCTGGCGGGCCCCTTTGCCTACAGTGTTTTCCCACCAGTGTCTGAGGGCAAGGTCCCTCCTAGGATTCAGAGAGGGTTTCCTTGACCACTAACGCCATGAAGCCACCCAGTCACTCGTGACATCTCAATTTAGTTTTCTGCAGCACACTCACTACTTTCTGAAATGTTTGTTACTGTTTTGTTTTTAGTTGATTTTTTTTGCCAGCTTAAAAAATTATTATCTCAAAATTTCTATGGATCAGAATTCCAAGCACAGCTTGACTGGGTTCTCTGCTCAGAGAACTATAATCAAGGTGCCAGCTGGGGCCAGGGTCTCAAAGACCCAGCGGCACAAGACTCCAACCTGCCGTGACCCGCCCTGTGTGAGCCTTGGGACCGCCTCTGCCCGGCCAGCCCCACCAGCCCCACCAGCCCCGCAAGAGCCTTGAGTCCCGGCCTGTGAGAGGTGCTCCATGCACCTCCTGGTGTGACCGGTTGTGGTTGTTACACCATAATGGCTTTTTATGATATAGATTGAATGGGTAGTACAGAGTTCCCATTTTACTCTCTACCCCTGAACATGGCTTTCCCTATTATTAATATCTGGTATTAGTGGTGTATATTTGTTATAATTAATAACTACTTTTTATAATTAGTAACTACTATTTGTTATAATTAATCATTATTAATAACTACTATTCAGAGTTTATCCAGATTCTTATGTTTTACCGATGTCCTTTTTCTGTTCCCGAGTCCCATGAAGGATTCCCCATCACACTTAGTTGTCATGTCTCCTTGGGCTCCTCTCACTGTGACAATTTCCCAGACTGTCTTTGTTTTTGATGACCTTGACTGTGTTTAGGAGTGTTGGTCATCTGTATTGTAGGATGCTCCTCTGTTGGGACTTGTGTGATGTTTGTCTCATGAGTAGCCTGGTTTATGGGTTGGGGGAGAAAAACCACACAGGCAGGTGCCACGTCCATCACGTCATTTCAAGGGTATAGCCATGATTTGTTTATGACAGTTGATGATGACCTTGGTCATCTGGCTGAAGTCGTGGGTGTTAGCTTTCTCCCCTGTGAACTTACTCTTTCTTCCCTGTTTCCATACTGTCTGCTCTGGAAGGAAGTCATGGTCACTGCCCACACCCGAGGAGGGGGAAGTTAGGCTCCCTGTCCTTGAGGGCGGAATATCTACGGAAGTTATCTGGAATTCTTTTACACAGGAGATTTGTCTCTTCTTCCCTATTTATTAATTTATTCAATCATCTATTTGTATCAGTGTGGACTCTTGGAAATTTACTTTATACTTTGGTTATAACCCAACATTATATTTCATTG